TTTTGAAAAATCGTTTTTTTTTTCCCGGGCTTATTTGAAAAGCAATTTTAAAATTAATGTCACTTCATCATTGTCACTTCTTCCCCTCTAGAAGATGGTGGTACTAAATTTGAAATTCGACGTTTCGTCTTCAGGCGGCCATCCTTACCTTACGATTTTTAAATACGAACCTAGATTTTTTATTTGCGATTTTGTCATCTTTGGGCATCCTAAAACCGATACTGTTTATAATTTTTCAATAACACGGTAAAAAAGCAGGTCCGTATTTGAAAAACGTCGGATTTCAAATTTTATCTGCCATCTTGAAAAGAAGAGAAAGTGGGAATGTGAAATTAGTTTTTCAAAATCTTTTTAAATGAAATCAGGAAAAAATTTAAGAAAAACGAGACATTTTTTTTTTCCGTATAGTTTTCATTTTTTCCTGATTTTATTTAAAAAGATTGTGGAAAACTAATTTCACATTCCCACTTTCTCTTCTTTTCAAGATGGCAGATAAAATTTGAAATCCGACGTTTTTCAAATACGGACCTGCAGAGTCACTTTTTCTTCTCTACAAGATGGCGGTATTAAATTTAAAATCCAATGTTTCGTTCCTCTGAAATCATCATTATTTTTTTTTTTAAATACGGACCTGCCTTTTTTGCTGTTTTATTAAAAAATTATAAACAGTATCGGTTTTAGGATGCGCAAAGATGACAAAATCGCAAATAAAAAATCCAGGTCCGTATTTAAAAAAAGGAAGTTGAGGATGGCCGTCTGAAGACGAAACGTCGAATTTTAAATTTAGTAGCACCATCTTCTAAAGGAGAAAAAGTGACAATGATGAAGTGACATTTATTTTAAAATTTATTTTCAAATAAGCCCGGGAAAAAATAAAAACGATTTTGCAAAATTTTGTTTTTTTCCGAATATCTCCGGAAGTATTCGGAATCTTTCTAGTTTCAAAACGGTATTCTATTGGTCCTAAAATTGCGCAACTTTGCCATAATTTAACCGACCTCGTATCTCTTACGGTTACCGAGATCCCAATGATGAGGCTCAAATTTGGGCCACCCTGTATATCTGGAAAACGAAGCATTTCCGGACACATGTTTATTAAGAAAAAAGTTTTATTTTTACGAGATCTACTATCCCTAGAAGATTGTAACTTTCGTGACACCCTGTATAAGTTAGGTACTTATTGGATAGGTCTGCTTTTGCTAATTCGAACGATATTGCATCAAATCTTCAAAGACTTACCCGGGAGCAGATATAAATTCGGATCATAATCCGCTTGTAGCGAACATCCAGTTGACATTGAAAAGAAAACTAACAGCCCGAGACTGGATCTGACAATACTAAACAACTTAACAATTCTGGCTGAAGTTAGAAACAAATCAGATAATAAACTAATGTTATAAACAGGACAGAGAATCAAGAAGTGGAGACTGTATGTACCGGTATCAGGGAAGCCTTTGTTAGCGTCAGCTCGGAATTTCCATCAACACTATGAGGGTCAGGCGAGGGGTCCGGAAAAAAGCTTGGATGACTGATGAAATCTTCGACTTGATGGAAGAAGCACGCCTACAGAAAGACCCAGCTAGCAATTATCTTCAGTTGAATCGTGAAATAAGAAACTAAAGTCAGGGTAGCTAAAGAAAATTGCCCAAATGAACGGTGTGAGGAAATTGAAGAAATCGAAGACCTCGAGGCAAAATATGACAGTTTTAATATGCTTAAGAAAATTAAAGGAGCTGCTGGTGTATACAAACTTTGATAGGCCGGAATTCTGTTGGACAGTCAAGGTAAGATAATTCTTGATGTCAACGACAAACTAAAACAGTGGTGCGGCTATATCAAAATCCTGTTTCAGGACTAGAGATCGGACATTCCTGAAGAGTATTCACGAGAAGGACTAGATATAACTACTAAGGAAGAAGTTGAACACGCCATTCAGTTATATAAAAACGGGAAAGTGGCAGGTCCAAACGGTGTCTACTCAAAACTTATTAAAATCCTAACAAATAAAGAGTGACCTCACGCAATGGTGAAGCTTTTCAATATGGTTTACCGATCAGGCATCATTCCCTCTCACTGACTTATTTCAACATTTGTGACGCTTTCGTAGAAAAGCTCTTCAAAAATATGTAGCGATTATCGACTTGTTAGCTTGATGAGCCACTTTCTCAAGATTTTTCTAAAGATCATCCATAAAAGAATATATGCAAAGTGCGAGTCCTTTACGGGCGAATCCCATCCAAGTGCTGGATCAAAGATCTAGAGATGTTTCTGTTCCTGTATACGCATGCTTCGTAGACTATGAAAAAGTGTTTGACAGAGTACAGCAAGAGAAGCTTATGAAAATTCTCAAGGATGTATGCCTAGATGATAGAGAACTCAAGATAATTGCAAATCTCTACTGGAATCAGACTGCACAAATCAAGGTAGACCAACAAATGTCTGACGAAGTACGGATAGAGAGAGGTGTCCGGCAGGGTTGCATCTTTTTACTGCACTGATGGAATTTCTATCAACGGCGTGAACATTAACAATCTTCGGTATGCCGACGATACGGTTTTAGTCGTTGATTCTCTGGAAGGTCTTTAATTATAACTTGGTCATTTGGCTACTGAATTTGGATTGAAATTGAACGCCAAAAAAACTGAATGGATGGTGATTAGTAAGAACCAGTTTGGAGGACCCATTCTTAAGGTACAGAACCAACAGATCAATCGGGTCTAATTATACAGATTCCTAGGATGTCAGGCTAATGAAGACTGGAATAATATGCAGAAGGTTCGTGCCAGGATTGAACAAGCCAGAACATTTGTTAAAATGAAGTCCGTGTTGTGTAGTCAGGTCTCTCCGCTCTCCGTTCCCACTTGAGTACTATGATGATACGTCTTCAGTATTCTCTATTATGGGTTTGAGGCATGGACTCTAACAGGCTTTATGAGTAAAAAGCTAGAGGCTTCTGAAAGGTGGACATATACACGAATGTTAAAAATCTCTTGGACTGACAAAGTGCGCAATGAAGATGTGCTAACGAGAATGTCACAGAACTAGAAGTTTACGCTTAAAAAGCGAAAGTTAGAATACTTCGGAAACATACTCAGGAATGATAAATACCTACTTCTCAAGCTCATAATCGAGGGAAAAATCGAAGGCACAAGAGGCCCTGTATCGTCGAAGAATATCTTGGCTAAAGAATTTTCGTCACTGGTACGTCGAAACCACAAGTCTATCAGAAAAGCAGTCAACAAAGTACAGAGAGCGCCGATGATTGCCAACGTTCCTAAAGGACAAGACACTTGGAGAAGAAGAAGAATGATATAAAGTTCGATAGGTTAATCTTAAACAGTTTTCGAGAAAAAAAAAATATAAATATGTTTTCGTCATAAGAAACAATGTGTTGGACTTCAAAAATAATATACTAAAGTTTCAACAAAATCTGTCGATGACCGAAGTCCATAAGAAGTGTGAGATGTTCTTAATAATTAATAATTAATAATGACACCTAGGACTTGAAATCCATCGTGAAGAAGTTTAAGCAGTAGCTCAGGATCCGCTAGTTTAAATTTACTTGCTATGATCACAATTAAAACTAACTGACGTGAAAAAGCTTCATACAAAACATACAGAGTGTGCGAGGATACTTTAAACTTGAAATTTCTAGTTTTCTAGAATTAAACGAAAATAAGTGAATTGATAACTGAATTCTATAGAAACTTGTATACTCGGCATGAAAAACCCAAAGAAACGTGAATTGATAAATTCAAAATGTTTAGTTGAAGGAAATACGAGATACAGGGACTTATCCCATAAGCAATCCCTAGAAGATATAAATAACAATATATTAGCTGGACTAGATAGTCGATGGCAGATGGTAACTTCTCTCTTCATTTTCAATTTCCACGCTTGTCAACAAAACTTCATTCTTTTCAACAATACTTATGCGGGCATCGCATACACCGAGTTTTAACACACATGGACGAAACGTACATATAGTAACAGGGTAACTTATTCGAATTAGGACCGATATCATAAATGTGTGAGTCTATTGGAGGATTAAGAAGTTTGGCAATCAGCGGAGAACCACGCAACTTCCTCTAACAACACTTAAATAAAAATCAAAAGATATGTAGGGTCGTTGTGGCTTAGTTGGTTAGAACGTAACACCGGCAATGCTGAGGACGCGGATTCGAATCCCGCCCAAGACCAACATTTTCAATCCTCCAATTTTTCTTAACTTTCTCTTCATTACTTAAAAGAGTTTTTTGTACTAAATGCTTTCAGGATATTGGGTTCTCCACACAATGGGTTGAAACCGAAATTGCGTGTTAGTTTTCAAGAAATGGGACATTAATTCCAAGAATTATCGATCAATATGTTTCTTATCTCAGATCTACACCCTACAACTACGAGAATTATTACGAATCGCCCAACATTCATTTAATCAATAAAACCATTCCTATTCATAGATATCAGAGCTCAGATTTTGATGTAATTGAGGGCATTCTGCAAATACAACAGTGCAGTGCTACTCAAGCCTATAGTCTATAGCCTATAGTACTGATAACTGAGAATCACGGATTTTTATTTTGCGAAATTGTTTCCGATTTGTCGAAATTTTCGCGTAAACTCACATTCCATTATTCACGACAAATAGAAACAATTTCGCAAATAAAATAGGATTTTTTTTTTTGCAGTTTCAGAGGGCTATAATAACACTTGGTTCTTTTTTCAATAAGAGTGCTAAGTAACCTTACGTGTTCGACTAATTGGCATGAGTCCATCCTCTGACTCAACTGGTTTTCGTGGTTTCTGTTAAGCGATTCATGTAACAGCTGGACAGATGAACATTTATTAGCCCTTTGTCTCATTTCTTTCTTTCTTAATTTTTAAACATCAGAACAACCTCTCAGCTCTACCACCTAGCACTTTTTTTAGGATCCGAGAGAAAGTGGCGTTTTCTACATGCTTGTAGATTGAAGTGTTTTCTAATATATACTATTTTACAGGCTTCTGATCCCATAGTAAGTCTACCAAAAGGTCAAGTACGAGGCGTTACACTGTCAAGCGTCAACAATAGAACAATTCATGTTTTCCGCGGCATACCTTTTGCCAAACCACCGATTGGAAAATTAAGATTTAAAGTAATCCATCAGATATATTTTTCATTTTTTCTGTAGGGCAATTATTTGAAAACTATTGTAGACTCCTGATGAACCTGAACCTTGGACAGATATACTTGACGCCATAGCAGATTCGAATATTTGCTTTTCCTGTGAATATAACTCTGAAAAAGAATCCGAAGACTGTCTATATCTCAATGTTATAACGCCTGCGCTAGAACTGGTAAATACTAAATCTCATGATATGATTACTAGTACGTAGATACTATACAAATTAGCTACGTCTTCACTGCCCACCTAATAATTCAGAAGCGCACTCATAAATATTTCAAACCAACTCCAATCCAATGTAAACATTTTAGAATGAAACATCCAAGAAACTGCCTGTTTTATTTTCAATATATGGGGGTGGATTTCGTGCAGGTTCCGCTGGTTATGGTAATCATGCGCCTGACTGGTGGGCCGAAAACGATATAATTTATGTGAATTTCAACTATAGAGTTGGTAGGTCAATAACTATTGTAATAAGTATTAAAATGTTAGAACTTTTCAATTTGTGAAGGTGCATTTGGCTTTCTTACAACCGGAGATTTGAAACTACCAGGCAATTATGGATTAAAAGACCAACAGTTGGCCCTGAAATGGACTTATGAAAATATACATTTGTTTGGAGGTGACAAAGATCAAATAACCATACATGGACAAAGTGCTGGAGGTGCATCAGTTACCTATCAGATTTTGAATAAGAAGTCTGCTGGTGAGAATCATTATTTTTCGAAAATCTTTTTTGCATCTGATTTCTTTCAGGAATGTTTAGAGCAGCAATAGCTGAAAGTGGTTCGGCTTTTTCTGGTTGGGCTTATACAAGGCCTGGTGATACTTATGCTGTGGATTTAGTCTCTATCATGCAAAATGGGACTCAACCCTCTGATAATAGTAGTACATTTATATATGATTATCTGAGTAAGGCTAATGCTAAAGGGATTGATCTTGCTACTGAGCCACTTTTTAAAGCTGTAAGTGAAATATTTCGTTTTGAAATTAGATTTTATGCCTTAGTTCAATTTCCTTGAAGTTTGCTTAAAATCTCTTCTTAGTCCATTTCATTATGGTCATGGTTATTGTCGGCATGAGGGCATTACCGCCCCGTAACCATAAACGATAAGGATTTTCTGTACCTATTGACAAAGAAATGATGGACGTCAAGTCGACTTGAGGCCTTTAATTATTATTATGCTACTACGGTTAAAGTTTCTCGTATCTTGAAATTGGGTTTATTAAAACTTGATAGAACGGAGAAAACAAAGCAAAAATAAAAACTGTTAGATAAAAATATCGGCCAAAAATTGTCGTTTTGTCCTCTATTTAAATACCTTTAATAAGTATAAATAATTTCCAGGGTAAAGATGCTTTGCCTACAATTGAACCTAAGCATGAGGATGCTTTTATCACGGAATTACAATATTCTCTCATGGAAAATGGAGATTTTAACAGAGTACCATTGATTATTGGAATTAATTCTGAAGAAAATATTTTTAAAGCTGCAGACCTTAATTCTTTCAAAAAAAAGGCCGAAACATATGACAAAAATCCAGCAACGCTTTTACCTAAAAGTTTGGGAGTCCTTAGTGCTGAAAATGAAACATTGGTCGGTCAAACTATGAAAGATGTTTATGCTGGAACTGGTAGAAGTTTTTCAGAAAATTTGGGAGGCTTAGTTGCAGTAAGATTTTACATAATTATTTGGATCATTCATCATTCATCATTCAGCCTCAATCTTTTCCCTATTCGACATAGGGCTTCCTAAGCATTTCCATCTCTACCTGTAATGAGCGGTTGCCAGCCAGTTTGTGCTAACTTTCTTCATGTCTAGATGGACCGACATCTAATTGGCGGTCGACCCCGGCTTTGTTTTTTTCGCCCTAGACACCAATCTTGCACCTATCCGTCCAAATTAAACGTTTTGCAGACAATTAATAAACATCATATTTTAATATCGGATACCTACTCGGAATAGGTTGAATACCGGGCACTCATAGATAGAATACACATTTTACTCAAGGTTTAAAACAGTAATCGTCTTCACTTAAAATATGCTTTTGATCATACGATTCGAACCGTCTTTACATGTCTTTATTCTATCGTCATCCTCGCCGTTGTTTTTTTTTTTTACGTCGTTTTTCTTATTTCTGGCCTTTCTTAGCACTCTCTTTCCGTTCGTTTCACCTCCTTTAGCCTGTGTTCCTGTCAAAATGCATAGTTGCCGTATGCAGTATGCATGATAAAACAGATTCCTACAGTATGCTTTTATCCCACAGTAGTCACAGTACTTCTGTGAGTAGAGATTGCCTTCCATTTTTGTACATTTTGATCTTTAATTATTGCTGCGTCTAGGGTTTCCCTATGCGCGATTTTCTTTCTCAAATATTTAGTGTATTGTTTTATTTCTTGTCCGTTATTCAATTTCAGGTTGCGTTGTTTTCTTCCTATGGTTTTCATGGGATTTACTCCCATACCCCATTCATCGCATTCCTCTATTAATTCACGTGTCATGTATTCTAGAACATCATAATACTGCCCAATTATTTCTTGGTGATCTGCAAAGCCTAAAGTATATGTATAGATTGTATTTATCCAGCAGTATCCCCATGTGTCTTTTTTTTTTCTATCCATTATAACCGGTTAGGAAAAACAATGTATGCTATGACAGGGCGAGGGAAGGGGAGTCTGAGTTCGGGACTAACACGGGATCGAACAGCACCAATCAGCCGAACGCTTGCATGTAAAAGAATTCTGAGCATAAGGTTCTCTTCGAATGAAGAGGAAAGAGGAGAGCCAAGTGCTGGGGAAAGATTTACTTTATTACTTCTCCCTAAAGAATTAACATAACAAACTATTTATTTCAGTATCTTAGTGACAATAGTTACACGAGGCCAACAATAAAGTTTGCAGAAATGCAATCTCAGTATACAGATGTATGGTTTTATCAATTTTCCTATAAAGGTAAAATGGGACATCAACTGGATATTAATATTCCAGGTGAATGATTAGTCAGTAGTAGGAATTGTTACCATTAATAGGTGCACTAATAATTATTTTTTATAGGTGCAGAGAAAGTAGCTCACGGTGAAGAAGTCCATTATTATACCGTTTACAAGGATGAAAATTACGACAATACCAAATTCGGAGATTTTCCTAAGAATGACGTTCTAACCCATTTTAGAATTATCGAATTGTGGTCTAATTTCATAAAATATTTGTAAGTTGTAAGCACCACAACTACTATAGTAAATATTTATTAGTTCATAATTTATTTCTAAAAAATTTTAGAGACCCAACTCCTAATTCAAGCACATTGTTGTCAAACATAACCTGGCCAGTGATAACTCCCGTAAACTATACATATTTAAATATCAATGCCACCCTAGAATTGCGGACAAGCCCAAAATCGCCTCGATATACGATTTGGAAGCAAGTGTTCGAGACGTTCGGATCAAAGCCGTATTTAGGATTTTAATTGTTAATTGTGTTGTGCAATAAATAAAATAGGTACATATTCGATGAACTAAAATATAAATTGTTCCGGTTTGCACCAGATTGTACCCCTCAACAACGGTCTTTGATTTGCACCATTGCTGAAACTGTTGATGTTAGCAAGCATCAACAATTTCTGAGAAAATTAAAAACACGCCAGCAAAACTTCGTTTTCTATCACCGTATCCAATAATTACTTAAATTTGTGCCATTTTGAGAATACAGTATTGAAAAGACCCACAACTAAAATAGGATGTTGGGATAGTAGGTTTTAGGTCTAAGTCTAGTTAAAATCAAAATTAGGCATCCAGCAATTGTAGGCAAAACGTCACGATGAAGACCGCGGCCCACAAGTCCAAAGAACATTAACTTTGATGAAACTACCAGCCGTGAAAGACTTGGTTGACGTGTGTTCTTGGAAAGTTCTATGATGATTGAAGTCGTTATCTACCAAGGTGGCTGGGCTTCTAACGAACAGGGGCTGTGCTTCCTTAGGCCAAGGCACTTAGCGAAATAACAACCATATTTTAACATAAAATTTAACAGCAAACTATCGATGCAATATTGTTAAGGATCATTTATAGATGCTAAAAACCAAAAATGCAACATCTAATTACTTTTAGGGGACTTTATAATAGTATAATATTAGGAGTAGAAGCATTACTTGCACAAGAAAGTGCTTTTACTCCGTATGCAACACGCTATTTTTTCTCCTGCTCTCTGCTCGGGGGCAAGTGGATGGTTGAGCGGCAGTAAAAGTACAAGCGGCACTAAATAGCTATTTATGTACCAAGGGGATTATGTAGATTATAATGCCCGAAGGCGAAACTAGCCCGAGGGCCTCTGGCCCGAGGGATATATTTCGCCTGAAGGGCATTATAATCTTGAAATCCCCGTGGTGCATACAATGCTTTATTTTCTACTCAGCCCAATATTTTTTCATCAATTTATTATTAACAAAATCAGTTAAACTTGTGTGACAGAATATTGATTTGTATTTTGACATGTACCTGTACCTGTGACCTGTACCTGTACCTGCGACCTGTACATAGAAACGAAATAAATTGATATATCTATAAACATCTCATAAGGCAAGGCAACGGTGGTGGTCCTGTGGGTTAACGCGCTGGACTACATGGGAAACGTTGATGGTAGACCGGGTTTGAATCCTGGCTAGACCGAAAATTATTTTCGGTCAGACATTTGGTGGCTGCCTAGGGTAAAGTGCAAATTAATAGAACAACAAAAACAAAAACACCTTAAGGTATTATAAGCGGGCGTTATAGATCATAACGCCCGCAAAAGCGGGCATTATGGATCAGGTTGTTATAGGTGTGTTAACGTATTTCGTTTCCTAGGTATTATGGATCTATAATAGTAAAGTAGAAAATAAAGTACTTTTGCTGTCGCTGGGGTTGCCAAGCAGCATAGAAATTAAACTTCTACCACCTCGACAGGTGTTAACCCGCTAGATTTACCTAGCAGCATAGAAATTAAATTTCTGACATCTTGACAGGGGTTAACAAAGTGAGTTTTTTTGACGTTTGAAGAAAAAAGTAGTTTTTCACCATTTATTTCAAAACGAATAGATGAAGTTTCCCATTATTTTTATTACGAACTACTATTGCAATTCTAAGCGACATATACTTTTTTCAAATTTTTTGAACTTGTAGTTTTCTCACTACTACAAAAATAGTTGGAAATACGCCCGTAGCTACACTGTTTAGAAAAAAATCCGACGGATGAACATTCAAAATTATTTGCGTTGATCGTAACTACAACCCTGTTTATGTAAAACAGAATAATACTTCGAATTTCCGCCAAACAAAGAAAAAACGTTCCATCACACAATTTAACCAAATGAAGATTTCTATTTTATTTTGACAGTCAAGTTAGGGCACACTATAGGGGCGACAGCAATGACATCTCGCGTTGCTGTAATAAACTATAGGCCTGACTTTAAACCCAAAACTGTGATATTTTTTATGTATCGCTAGCCAAATAAAACTGACGCAATAAAGTGTCCGGACGGTGTAACATAATAATGGGTATTATGGGCTTTAATGGTCTCCAAACTGTGAAGTATGCATAGTTCCAGACCATACCGATTTTCAATAGAGGGTGTTTGAAATTACGGAGAAATCTCTGGACTACAAAAACTAAAGACCAAGATAGCCCTTTGAGCCATACATATCTTAGTCTAAAAGTTAACAACTAAAAAGTTACAGGGTGTTGAATTATCAATAGTAATATAACAAGTGCAATGGAAATTATCAATAATTTTTGGGAAATTATTTTTAGAGCACGAGTGCACGTAGTGCACAGGTGCCTTTTTCAGTTGAAGACGCATGAGTGCAAATTTGTCGAAAATTTTAAATATATTTCCATTGCACGAGTTGTATTCTATGAGACTATTTCACTAGAGTGTATTACACCGGCAATAAATTCGGTATTCACCTGACAATAATGCTACCTGGACAATACCAACAACATGGTATTTCAGCGACCATTTTTGGACATTTTCAAACTGGTATTTTTAATTTGAAGTTTTTATTCATAATTTTGCATTCTATTTATTTTCAAAATCTTACGTGAAATAGTCATGACGATTACCACTCGAGAAAAAATTGTGTAGGCAAAATTGTTCTCAAGGTTTTATTCAAGTTTGTTGCCTTTCGGCAATTTCGCTCATGACATTTTTGATAAAATCACTCGCCTGACGGCTCGTGATTTTGTCAAATATGTCATTCGCGAAATTGCCAAGCAACAAACTTTCATACCTTTCAAAAATTTTGCCGACAAAATTTTATCTCTTGTGGTATTATACAGGGTGTCCCACGAGGTTCCTCCCAAATGATCATTTTGGAACGCGTCTTCGTATGTTCCACTGTATAATTTTCTATATGAGAATTTCATAAATCAAAAATTAAATTTTTTTGTCAAAAAATGTCATATATGCAATTATCCGATAATTTGCACTTCCAATCTGATTGGTTGAAATCAACAATCAAAACATGTCAGTTCATTGTTGGAATGTCAATTTTGACAGATGTATGAAATTCTCAATAGTACCTAATATAACGAGTGCAATGGAAATTATCGATAATTTTTGGGTTAGTTTGGGTATGTTGGAATGTCAGTTTTGACAAATGCATGAAATTCTCAGTAGTTATATAACAAGTGCACTGAAAATTATCGATAATTTTTGGGAAATTTGCCCGAATGCATTTTTATTTGAAAGAGACTTTTTCAGTTAAAAACGCATGAGTGCAAATTTTTCAAAAATTATAGAAATACTTTCATTGCACGAGTTATATTTTATAAGAAAATTTCCTGAATCATTATACCTACCTGTTCGCAGTATTTTACTATAGGGACCTTGTTTAAAACAATCATTATGTTGCTATGTTGCCAATTAATAAATTTGTCAAAGGTTTCATTTTTGAATTTGTAAGCAGATATGGCTCGTTTTGGAAGAGTTCAACGGCTGATATCGATAAAAGTATCAAAGACCTTACGCCGATCAATACGAAGAGATCTCAAACGTCGATTTGGAAATAGTCTAATCTACTGTATAGAAAGCTGATAATTTGTGTCTAATTTACTGTGTACAAAGCTGATAATAACTCGTTGAGTCAGGTAAAAAATACCTGAAAAAATTATCGGCATTAGCACTTGTGCAAATTATCGATAATTTGCACTTGTGCAAAATTATCGCTGTAATTCGCTTCCTATTGATCCAAAATTTCCAGACGCCTCTGTATTTTTACCTGAATATTACCTCAAGGAAATTTTCGGGGATAATACCACGAAAGCTTCAAAATTACCGATAATTTTTCACAATTGCGTGTTTTCTATAATTTCACGAGTCCGTAGGACGAGTGAAATTTGCAGAGAAAACACGCATGAGTGAAAAATTATCTGGTTCATTTTAAAGCTCAAGTGGTATTTAGAGGATAATTTCACGTATGAGAATGCAAAAAATATGCAAATAAATATGTATTTAACGATTTGAACATCTTAACAATCAATACAAATAAATGGTTGCTATCAGGAACCGATTGTTTGTATCAAAAATTAGCATGACAACCATGTATACAATAACATGGGAGAATTATCGTTGTAATTCTCTCTAGTTAAACAAATGGAAAAGGGAATTTTCGCTGTAATTCTGAAAATCGTCACTTACTGTCTTATGGGATTTCTAACACATCCCAGCTAGCAAAGTAGTTCTGTAAATTTAGGGTAATAGGACTTTTATGTTCTATTAGTGTTTTATAGTTGTATCCGGAACACTAAATTGTTGTATTGATGTCGCACATAAGCCCATTTTGCCTCAAGAAACCGAATTGTTGTTTAAACTTATTGCAAGAACGTTCTTAGAGCATAATTATAGAGCATATATAAGATAAGTTTCAAAGTTGTTGTATAAGAGTGCAAAGTAACATAATTTTACAGCAACAATGCTTATAGAGTCAAATTACTGTGAAACCGATGTCAAGTATTGCCCTATAGAATTAAACTATCCCATGTGGAACTTTTATAGAATGACTCTATAATGTCGCTTATAGTTCTTTTAATAGAACTATTGGGTAAGGGGTCGCTAAGTGACAATTCTGCTGCGAAGTACAAAATTATCAATATTGGAGCCGCTAACGAACTCAGGGAAAAAAGCTCTCTAAAGCTGTTATAGAGGATAATATTGTGGTAATAATAGAATCATTATAGAGTAAATAAGTGATAATGGAAGCTTTTTTGTTCAATCAAAAACGGTATAGAACTATTATACCTCCTTTGATGACCCCATATGTTTAAATAGTTTATTTTCTTGGTGTGTATGTGTTGGACAACATTTATTTTGGAAAATGCCATTAAATAAATGGAAAAAAGTTAAAAAAAGTGGAGCGTTTCGTAGGAAAACAAAGAAAATCTACGAAACCTTGTTACGCGATAGTCGCGATAGTATATCTTTAAATAACACTAACACTACTGCTATAAATGATGTCCAGGAGGCGACAGCATTACAAACAGATGGAGCCGTATTGGTGGGCGAGGAAGAAAAAAATGAAAT